CCCCAAAACCCCAAAACCCCAAAACCCCAAAACCCCATATATTACTGTGCAAATAGAAAGCACTAATTAAATATTTTAATGAATTTAAGTGCAACAGAACATAGCCAAGCTGTGGAGGCTAAGCCTCAGAAAGACTGCCAGCTCTTTGAGATAGAAGATCCCTACACAAACCTTGATCCCCCTGCTGTAGTCATGAGACTTAGGAGTAAACTAAGCAATGCTTCTAAGATATCAGTGTCTTTATTCGAAGTTTCTTGAGTGTCTGACAAAGACACCAATGAAAGAAGTGGTTACATTAAAGGGATTTTATTGATGATCACCACAACCTTGATCTGGACTATTATCCATATCTCTATAAAGTATATGTTCTCTATATCTCCAAATATGTCTGCATTTGACTCCATCTCAGTGGTGGCTTATTCCTTGGTCCCATTCTACTACATCTACGCTAAGATTAAAAAAGTGAATGTGAACATCTTCAGTTTTACTCCTAAAATGCAATTGGTTATTTTGTTAAGAGTGGTGGTTGGCTTACTAAACACGATTTGCTTGTTCTTTGGTCTGCAGTATGTATCCATTGGCAAAGGGATCCTTATCTGGAGTATGAGCCCTCTATTTTGCACAATTACCGCTGCAATCTTCCTTAAGGAGAAGATTACATTTCAAAATATTAGCTTGATTCTCTTCTCGATATTCGGAGTGTATATATTAACATTGAACAGATCTGAGGACCCAGAAGTCGCGTCAAATGAGATTCTGGGCTACTGTTTATTGGTGACCTCAGCCATCCTATACGGATGACTATTTGTAATTCTGAGAACAATGAGTCTCAATAACGTGCACACGCTAATTTCGCCTTTGTACTTCGGACTAGGAGTTCTTTTGCAAAACATATTCATAATGATTTTCATTCCAGGATTGTTACATTTTGAAGAATACAGAGGCACAAACTTAATATGCCTTGGGATCTTGTTGATATGTGTGGTTGCTGGCCAATTTACATTTATGGCATCTACAAAGTACACCTCTGCATCCAGACTGGCACCCATCGCTTATAGTGAAAATATCTTCACGATTCTGGCAGATATCGTAATTTTCAACTACCATTTCATCTTCACTGACATGATCGGCATCGTCATTATTGCACTTTGCCTGGTTATTCCTATTGTTCAGAAGATCAAGGAATAAGAAAATTTGTATTAAATATTCTAAAATCAGCAAATTTGTGTGGTCGATTTGATACGTGCTAATTTATCAATCTAAATTAGTCAAAATGGGGTTTTGGGGTTTTGGGGTTTTGGGGTTTTGGGG